GAAGAATAATAAGCAAAAAGATGAGATGAGAAGTGACGCAAATGTTGCCACTGGGTCTAATTGTAACTCGAGAGAGATTTATTGATAGTAAACCTGATTACTGCTTTTGTATTTGTGTGAAATCCCTTTTACATGAATGATTGCTTGATTCAGTGCATTATTTTATGTAACATTTCAATATGGTTGATATACGTATTTTGCATGAATTTGAAAGTGATCGTATTACCCTGTATAGGTTGCATTCATAGTGGTTGGGAGTTGTGGGGATTAGCTTTGGGTGTGTTCTTATTTTAGGAGGTGCATTAGTAGTAAGTATGTCTTATTTTAGTGGGTGAATTGTAGTAAGTATGTCTTTTGATAATGTGGAGTATAAATGTTTGAAGGTGCATCGGTAATATATATGGGGATGTAGAGAGTTACATTGGATCACGAGAGGTGATGTGATTAAACCTCCATTTGGTTGAGATTAAAATTAGATTTTTAGTAGATTTTGATAAAAGATGATGAAATGTGTGGTTGAAAATTTGTGAAATTCATGAAATATGTGATAAAAATTAATTCTTGAGTTTGACCTAAATTAAAATCGAAATCATAATTCCTACCAAACAAGGGCTAAATATTTGAAATCATCCATCTAATAGAATTCTTATTGAGTGGAGTGGAAAGTGACACTTCTATTAGTGGAGACCTATTATCTACTTAGGTTGAGATAAGGTAGTGATAAAGGAGCATCCCATGGATTAAGGATCTATAGAGGTTTATCAGTTAGACATGAGTAGTGACAAGTTTGGTAAGCAAAGTTAGCGACGAGAAGAGATATGTGTTCTCGATATGCGAGCTACTCGGAATGGGGTTGGATAATGTGGTAAGATCTTTTCATGGGATCATTTATGCATTGATTACATATCTTGGCTGTACTTGATTAACTTTGCGTTAACTTGATGTTCTTCGCATGTTGAACATGTTTGAAAAGATATGTGTTATCCTATGTTATATCTTCATCGCATGTTTTATGTATTCTTGATTCATTACGACGATTATCTTTTCTACTTGGTTTTCTTGACCTCGTCCCTTGGTGAGTACATGGGGCATGTATTGTATGTATTTCGAGTTCGAGACACTATGTAAGGTTTGTGATTCCAATTTTATTTGATTACTTTAATTAGACAAGTATACAATTTGTATTGTTTGCTTGCAAGTTGATTGGGCATCAAAGTGGAGATTTGTTGGATTTTGATATCCAGTAAATTTGGGCGATGATGTTAAAACATTGTTGGATTAATTATATCGGCACTACAATTGATTGACTCAACTCGAGAACAAATTGGGACTATTGGAAGCAGCTTTTAATTTGTATTTCTCGTGGTCCATTCATTTGTTGGACGGCCCTTTTAGTTTATTAGCTCACTATTGTATGTTATACATTCGCCCAATTTGTTGAGTGTTAGTCCATTATGCTTTAGCCCATTTACCTTAGTTTTGTCCCATCTATGGATTATACCTAATTTATATAATTCAACCTCTTTCTTGCAGAGTGGTGTGTATGCAATAGAGAGAAAAGAGAGGCAGACATTCCTTTTTGCAATTGAGAGTTTTGCTTGGTGTCTTCCTTTTTCTTCTCTCCCTTAGTAATATTGCAGCCACCATATCTTATTTTTTGCGGGTAATGTTTACAAGGGAGCAACCATAGCGAGTATTTGGTTTTGGGTTCAACTTATGAGAGGTGGTATTCGATTCGGTATTTGGTGTTAAAATCTGCTAAAAATTCTTCTTTTAATCCCTACCAAACAGGAGCTTTATTTGAAAAGTTTATACTACTTTTTTAAAAATTCATGATTATAATTGAAGCACATGAGATAAATTGAAAGTTCAAGAAGAAGTCCAAGAGAAAATTCAAACGTTCAAAGGAGGAGGCAGAAAAAAATCTTTCCAGAAGTTAATTTATCAACAAATCAAAGCCAAATTTAAGTATTGAACGCATCCCCCATCTTCAACATCTGAATATTTAATCAGAAGATTTTGCGCTCTCACAATCACAGGAGGATCAATCTACTTTACAATTTCTCAAAGAGGGTGACAAGATGCCAACTTCTGTATTCTGTATCATACGATCACAGCCGTTGGTTCTCAAGGCCTTTTTTCTCATTTGGAAGGAAAAAAAAGGAGTTGGAGGGTGTTAATTAGTTATGGTGTGTTTAGAATTTAGTCAATAACCATGTCCAGGATCGACCTGATCCACCCTGAAAATTCGTGAATCGACCAGTCTGGGGTGATTCTCTAATTGAACCCAGCAAAATCGACGACCCAAAATTTGCTGTTGAATTTAAATTTTAACTATGAAGCTCTTGCTCAAAATTAAGTACATTTTTTTTAAAAAACATTTTTACTAAACAAACCGTCTCAGTTCTAGCTATATGATTTTCAGCATTTTCATAATTTCTCTCATCATGATTCCATCTCTCCACCTCTCTTCTTTAGCTCTCATATGCTTATTTGCGTCTCTAATCTAGACTGATAATAGAATATGAAATAGAAGTATAAATATAAACTCCATTCATGTAATTGCGATTGCAAGGATTAAAATCGATAGGTATTTATTACAATTATCTGCCTTTGTTGGGTTTTACTTTTTATTTTTGCTAAAATTATAAGTTGGTAGACTAAATGGTAGATAAGCAAATAGTAGTTGTGGAATATTCATGATCTTTGTGAATCCCCCAAAACCACTTCACCTCTACCAATCCCTCTCCTCCACCACCACTTGTCACTGCTGCACTTTCCCAAGTCTCGTCCTGCACCATACAATTCCTTTCTTGGCACGTAACAGTAGATAGGAGTGGACATTAGTATTAAATAAGAAACGATGCAGAAATTTAATTATAATAGTGTCTAGTCTTGCTTACCAAACATGTTTGAGAAAGATAATTAGAACGGGATTTCCTTTCTATTCCTTGAGCATTAATTGCCACCAAAGCAAGCATGCATAAAAATTGGTTTCAAAACTAGTGTACACGTGCACATATAAGGAAATTCTTAATAACTAGAAATATTTTACATGCCAGAATAAGAAAACTTCACAACCCTATATATATATTGAAAAGGAAAAACTCCTAAAGCCTAATCCACACCAACAGCAGAATGCTGTCAAAAATTGAGTGTATTTGGACCTGCAGTCTCTTTGTTAAATTTCCATCTCTTAAACTTTATTACCTCGCATTTAGTAGCATTCGAAGAACGCTTTTCATGTTCGGTCTGTCATCCGGTGAAATACTAAC